TGATCAGAATGCTAATGGGTTTTGTTGGTTAAACTAGTTCGTTTGTATAATCAATTTGATCTATTGATTTTGTTTTTTTGATTTTCTGGATAATTTTGTGTTGGAAAATGGGTTAACTTCTGTATTTTTGGATACATTTTGTGGTGCTTTTGAGTCGAGGGTATCAATGGAATGGTTTTGATGATGGTAATAGCTCTGCCGAACAATGTGTAGTGTGTACAGTATGTGGTATATACGAGGTTGCTCTCGGGTGAGGAAATAGATGGAGAGTGTTTTGTGTACTTGTTTTAACATATTTGTCGAACGATGATGTTTCAATGACTTTGCTGAAGGGCATGTTTCAATGTTTTCGTCGAATGATATAAGTTACATTATTGGCCAAAGTAGGCTTTTTTAATCTATGTTTTCCAAGAAATTGCATGTGACTTGTTACAATGTTGAAATGGAAATTTTCATCACGTATTGGTGTTACAATTGTATCTCCTTTGGTAGTAAAGAGTGTATTATTGTAGAAATTCGATTCAGGTGGGGAGTGTGTAAAACTGTGTCTGCTGGTTAGTATTGATTTTCAGTAACCTTTTCTGCCACTGTTGGATGATGTCACTGCATGGCGGAATGAATTTTCAATAAAAGATCTATAGCTATACTTATCAAAATAGTTACATTATGCCTTAATTACATAGAATAGATTTTGGTTTTTAGAATTTGATCCTATGCTATCGTACCTGCTGTTGTATCATTTATGAAATCAACTTATGCATGTACATGCCCAATTTATGAGTGTTCATCTAATGTTATTCATTTGAATTGCAGGCGAGAGGATTGAAGAAACATTTGAAGAGGCTCAATGCCCCAAGCATTGGATGCTTGACAAACTTGGTGGTGCATTTGTAAGTGATATGACTTTTTTGCCGTGCTTAAATAGCTGTGGCATCACTGTTATTTGTTCTTATGTTTGCTCCAATGTGTTATACAGGCTCCTAAACCCTCATCTGGTCCCCACAAAGCAAGGGAATGCTTACCCTTAATCCTTATTCTGCGTAATAGGTTAAAGTATGCTCTTACATACCAGGAGGTCCAAGCTATTTTGATGCAACGACATGTCCTTGTTGATAACAAGGTCAGGACCGATAAGACCTACCCAGCTGGTTTCATGGGTATGTTCTCTTTCGATATCTGTGTAGCAGTTAATGTTTAAGTCATCTAAACATTACATGACATGTACGTCATTCTGTTAAAGCACATGCCATGTTAAGTGTTTCTTCACATACCCCTGCTGTCTTCCGTCCCCAACTGTTAGCCCCCAAGCTATTTTTTACTTTGTTAAGTTTGGTTGGGTGAAATTCATGAGAGATTGTTGGATAGAGGGAGTATTATACATTTTGTTTGTGTTCAATTGGTACGAGAACAATCTTTGTTACGATAACTAATACCTGAGATTTTTTGTTTGAATTCATCTTGCACCTGTTAAATGGGAAATGGATTTATTTTCAGATGTTGTCTCCATTCCCAAGACAAATGAAAATTTCCGTCTGCTTTATGACACAAAGGGAAGATTTCGCCTGCACTCTATCAGAGATGAAGAGGCAAAGGTATACTGTGTTTCTTTCATAGTTTAACCCATCTAGTTCTTATCCATTTATTTTTGTTTAATATCTCTGATTCCTATATTTCGAGCATCAATGTGGGGGCTATAACTGTTGGAAGAGACTGCATGATGTCTTATATGCCTTTTGTTCTGCAATGGTGCCAACATTTATTCTCTCCCTACTAATTTTCCTGAGAGAGAATAGTTTGGTTGGCTTAAGCCTCTTATGTTTTGTTTAGTACATCCATTCTAAGACTTTGTTTTGCAGTACAAACTCTGCAAGGTCCGATCTATTCAGTTTGGCCAGAAGGGCATTCCCTATCTGAATACCTATGATGGTCGTACCATCCGTTATCCTGACCCACTTATCAAGGCCAATGACACAATCAAGCTTGACCTGGAAGCAAACAAGATTGTTGACTTCATCAAGTTTGATGTCGGAAATGTTGTTATGGTGACTGGAGGGCGAAACAGAGGGCGTGTTGGAATCCTCAAGAACAGAGAGAAGCATAAGGGAAGTTTTGAGACTATCCACGTTGAAGATGCTGCTGGCCATGAGTTTGCAACCCGACAAGGTAACGTTTTTATCATTGGCAAGGGCACCAAGCCATGGGTGTCTGTTCCCAAGGGTAAGGGTATCAAGTTGTCAATTATTGAGGAGGCTAGAAAGAGGCTACAAAAGGAAGCTGCTACTGCATAATTTATGTAATGCTACTGAGGATAGTTTTTCTTAGAAGTTAGACAGCTTCACATAGTTTCCCTAAGGTGAATGCCCCCTTTTTTACTCCTATGTCAGTACAATTTTGGCTTTTAAACTTGCTGTGATAGATGCTCTTTGCTCTTATTGGAGATGAATGTAACTGTAGCTTGAATCTTCTTTTTTATTGCAAGGTTTTGATTCCTTTGCCGAAGGATTTTGATGTTTAGAAGTGTTTGTTATTTGAGTTTGTTGCATTGTGAAGATCATGGAGTTAAAACTGTCATTTTCTGATTTCATTTTATGTTAAACTGTCAATGCCCCAACTTCTGTAGTTTTAACAACCTAAGACAGTTGAGCTCCATTTGTGTTTTAGCTGTATTAAACTAAACTTGTAGTTAACCAAATTTGTTTACGAATTCAAAAGCATGAAACCCAAATTTAATTAAGCCTGAAACTTTGTTAGCTACTGTTGGTTGAATCAAGCTATATGTGAAATGAAATAACATTAGTGTACAAATGAAGGTGGCTATCAAAATCCCTTCTATATCTTACAATTATCACAAATCTACACATATTTTCCTGTTAGTATGGTAATGACATTCCGCGAGTAACATGGAGAACATAATGTGATCTCATATAGTGAATATAATTTGATAGCCAGCGCCTGATGTTTGTCTCTGGGGATTATATGGGGCACTTTTGAACATTTTATGGTTTGAGATTAGCACATGTGTGTAGTGTTGGTATGAATGAATTCCGCAATTTAGATGGTGGACAAAGGTGAAGTAGCTTGATATTGCTCAAATTTGAAGAACTCGTCATCTAAGTTACTCAATTTGCAATTATGCAAATGACCTGATTGCCACTGCTTATCATTGCACGAGAAGAATATCTAAAATGAGTCATAAACCATGTACACTTCCTAACTTTGCTTCTCAATATATTTAATTCAAAAAATTGGTGATTTAAAAATTTAAAGGGGGAAGTTAGAGAAGTGCAACAAACTTCCGTGGCTTTAGTGGAAGTGAAGTGACTAGGAAACATTATCCTCTTCACTTACTACTACCTGGTTTATGAGCACTAAATAGTGGGTAAATATCACATGGAACCAGCATTGCGGTTGTTAATGGTACCCAAAATGTCTCTTATGATTTAATTACATGTTCCAATATAATCTCCACTCATTAAATTCAACATCATTAAGTGAAGAAGCGTATTTTCTCCGTTTCTTAATAATTATAGTTCAACCGTACAAGAACAACACTTATATTTTCAACATGCCAATGTTTATAATACCTCAATAATCTAATAATTATAAAACTTTGATAATATAATTTGCAACAAATTCAAGATGGTGAAAGTAGACCGATGCGAATAGGAAAAGACAAAGTGTTAGAACATTTGCAAGTATATATAAACAGAGATAGTATTATTTTAGTGGAATCTAATTATCTTGATTTATTACCAAATGAAACATTAGAGTGTGAGATGTTTATTTAAGGATGATATTAAGACACCAAAATACAATATTGACTTGGACCTACCTTACCTGAAAACATTGCAACTGGGAATCTTTGGTAAAAGAAAGATAAGGTGGCAAAAGCAAATTCCAAAGGTAATTGCACCTTAGACCTTACCAAATGTTCTTATCATATCCTATGCTTTTTTTTTTTTCGCTTTGAGAAATTCGGTCTTACCTGCATGGCTTGTCATATACGAAATTCTACGTAGGTAGCTTACAAGGAATATAATGGAGTGGTAGATTGTTTGGGGGTATTTTAGTCGCTTTAAGGTATTTTGAAGGGCGATTTGTAAAGTAAACAACCAATAATAAGAGGTATTTTTGAGAAATATTATTACTGTGAAAAAAAAAAAAAAATCACATACAAAACTGTTGGGGACTCCTTAAATAGTAGTATTCGATCTTAATGAATTAACAAGTTTGTGATAGTATTTCATACTCTGTATCATAGTCCTATGTACTACGTATATATATTGTTTGTTATGTGATATGTTCCTAAGATAGCAGTGACTAAGGCTCACAACCTAGCAATTGCGGCTATTGAAAGGAATTGAGGCTAATCTTCTTTGCCTTGTACCATAGTGAGATTCAGCGACAATGATGTAATAAATCTTGGAAAATCTTAGTTAAAAATGATCAACTATTTTTAAAAAATTAGAAATAAAATTGTTCCAATTTTGTAAAATACATCAGGAGTACAATATAAAACACTTTTGCTCACGAATTCTACATTTTGTAGTCACAATATATATGAGAAATTTTATAGGATTAGTATATACTCCGTACTCAATTTTGATGGTACCCTTAGTTATATGAGAAATTCAAACTGTAAAATGACAAAACAGTCCTCTAACCACATCCTAGTGAACTCAAAATTTCATGGTGTGCTTTATACTATGTCATCATTTCACAATCTCAGTACAATGCTTTATGTATTTACTACCAGTATCACAAAACCCCACTAATAACTTTACTTCTTACAAAAATACTATTCTAATATGTAATCTTGGTCATTAGTTGAATTTCAACCAACTGTATGTATCCACTAATGAAGGTGATTAAAAACCCCACTTTAATCATAATTATTTTGGGTATATATCATAATTTGTTGGTTGAAATAGGTTTAACCCTAGAACCTTCAAGCTTATTCCCTTAATATTCTTTTAAGTAGACTATATATTAAGAAATCTTATATTAAAAGTAAAGGGCAAAGTTAGTAAAGAAAAAGGCTTGATTTAATATGAATAAACCTATCTTTCTTACAACTTTTGTATTTTTCTAGGTAATTTGGATTTTATTTTATTTTTGTGGAATGATTTTACAAATAGAAAGAACAACATTTGACTTTGAGAGAATATATAAAAGGAGTGAAAGAAAACATAGTTGTAGCTAAGTAAAATATGGAGAGTCTAAGGAGCTTCCTCTGCTTCAAGACCTCACCACCATCAATAGTCTTTCCAACTACAACCACCTTCTTCACTAAGCTTCCTTTGCGATTTTGGCACAAGGCGAAAGGTAAGCTTCCTCCTTCCCCTTTTTTGCTTAATGACACATTTACTCGTTAGAAACAATCTGAAAACATTGTGAAATGGAATATGTTCTTGTTCACGTACGTTAGATTCATTTCAAAAGTAAAATCATGTTCATATCTTGTTCAATCATCAAGATACCATATTCTAATGTTTTTCTGCTTAAATCAGCAGGATATGCTGTTTTTGGAGCAAAACAAGGTAAATAGAAAAAACTGTATAACAACTTTTTTTGAGTGATGCTAGTTCTGTTATTAATTGTCACAATGGTTTAATGCAGGCTTATAAATTTGTTCAGTTTTTGATAATATACTTTGGTATCATTGATTTGGCAGCTGCTAAAAGAAAAGGGCTTGTGAGCCTTTCTAAAGACAAGGAGCTATGTGAAGGATATGCTGATATCGAAACGATGTGGAAGATGATTCATTCGACCCGTGCTAAGGATATACACAGCAACAGAAACTGCAAGAGACCTCGATATTTAGTAGTCTGTTTTAAGCCAAGTTAAGTGACTTTCAAAAGAGATAATATGGCTTACTTCAGTTTTATTGTTTTGTACAATAAGTAGGTCTAATTTACGGTCTTTAATTCTCTTGGTGTTGTGTTTTGTTATGCCCATCAGGTTCTTCTCTAGATAGATTGAAGAACAATTCTGCAAAGCTGATAGAATGGGAAAATTAAACACGATTATATGTAGACTTCGATTAGTTATAAACTTTTGAGTATATTTGAAGGTTTAACTGTCAAAAATCACATAGCCCAAGAATGTGCAATCAATTTGCATTAGCATAATATATAAATCTCAAGTACATATTTGTATGCAAACATCTCTTGTATTACAGCCATTTACATCCATACTAAAGACCGGCTTACTTAGGTGACAGAATCCTGAAATCCGGAACTAGGGAAAACTAGATAATTGTACTGTTGTAGTATTAGTACAAACAATACTTTCAGATGACCATATCGCTAAAAAAAAAAAAAAAAAAAAAAAAAACTTAGCAGGAAAGGGAAAAAACAGTCAAATTTGTGCTCTTTCGCAGACTAAAAGCAGGGCATACAGCAAGAAAAGATTTTAAGGACACCAATTTACTCCACGTCCTTATAGACATTTTGATCTAGTAACATCATCTAAAGTCTTCTGTGATGCTTCAACCTAAGTAGGAAGGTAAATAACTGAACAAAGATTGATTAGCTAGAAAGAAAACACTATAAAGTAGAAACTGTGAGGCTGCCTAATTCCAAAGACCCCCCCTTTGCTCACAGGAGAAACCAAGCCAAAAAGTACGTCTAGTAGTTCTCTTAGTAAGTTAAAGAGTGCTTTGATTGCTAAAACTTTCCCTGCAGTTTGAGAGCGAATGCATATTTCTTCAAACCAACATAGATTAGCTTCTCTTTAACTATTCAGCTTTAAATTATGTGGAATTTTTGTAACTGGGATTTCTGTGTATATATACCTACTGCAAATTTGAGTACCCATCTCAAACACGGATATGTGTCCAAGTTTTAGGCTTGGTTATATTGTGAAAATTTCCTTTATTCCTTGTATTTGTATGAGTAGTCATATGTCCTTAAACATGTTGGAATGTCGAGGAGCTGACATGGATACTTGAGGTAAAATGAAGAGTCCGAGTGACACAAAATAAAACTTTACCTACCTGGTTTCCTGTTTCAGGGTGAATTGTGACAGTGCAAATTTAATGCTCCATCCATATTGGTCTAATTAGTGGTAAATATTGACAAAAATTTACAGAAAGTAGAGATTCCACTATGATCAAATCAAATGTTCTTCACCAGTCCTTGTGAAAGAGTTAGAATAAAGGTATATAGCATAAGCATAGAGTGCGTCTCCTTTTCCAAAATGCTGAATCTTTGAAGGTGGTATTATTCTCTATTCAAATCCGCTTTACTTAACAGCTTGACTATGTTCTGAACTCCCATTTCAAGTGTTTCTAGAACTTTACGCAGATTACGACCACTTACAACTTGCTAAGCACCTGATTTTATCAGATTCTGGATGCCCTTATCTTTCTAAATTACTTTCAAGTTGCAACATCTAAAAAATGTAAAAAGTGACATCAAATGGAATTATGGAGTAATCTGGAAACAGCATGTCTGAAGGTGTACGTATAGGCGTATAGCAAATCAAAACCAATAAAAGTCATTTAAGTAAAATGAAAATGATCGAAACAGTGCAAAGGTTATCAGCTTATCACTAAACAAAAGCTAGTTAAGGATTACAGAAAGTCAGAAACAACCAACTATCAGATTCGACAATTCAACCCCTCCACCCCTCAGTCCCCAGTCTAGGGTGCTACTGTCTTGCGATAAATAATTAGGGAACATTACATTTCTCCCCCAAAAGATTAGAAGACACATAATAAAGAAAGATGCACTTTGATATCACAATATGAGAGTTTGCCCTTCAAACTAAGCTGAGTGTGCATCCATTTCGTATACATACCACACATACTCATAGTTCGTAAAATCAACATAAGAATCACAAATGACTACAAAAAGAGTCGAAATAAACCATGATTAAAAAAGTTAATGGAATCTTACGTGCTCTTAAATTATAACAGCAGACAATTAAGGACCACCTAAAGGAAAAGAATAGGCAATTATCAAATGCAAAGGGATTGCCATCAAACGATCAAACATGAAAGCAGAGTTTTACAAACTGATGCTATTTTATTGAGACATTTAACAAATTGTTAGTTGACACCCCCTTCATGTCAAAATTATTGTCAAAACCTCATAACTTTATACTGTATTCGAAAAGAAACTTTCCATATTTACCTTTGGTATTAACAGCAACCTCCGCCATAATAGAGTTCTGTTGTCTGTAAAAATCACTCATTCACTCGTAAAAGTCACCTTTATTAGCTTTTTAACTTTGTTGAAGGCTAAATCATCGGCTCCAAAAAGAAAGAGGACAAAATTTAATAATTACTTAACTAATAAACTTTTAAGTTTTGTACATAACATCTATTGTTAATGAGATAATTTGCTAAATGAACTTGAATCAGATTCTAAAACTTAACACAATGTATGTGTAAGACTAAGATTTAACGATGCAAGATTAAATTTTTACACAGATACAGATTAACGAGAAGAAAGTCAGTATTGAATTTAACATTTAGAACATGACCGCAACTCTCATTTCGAGTTTTCTCAGAACTTTACACAGATATAGACCACAAATAACTTGCAAAGTTCCTGAATTTTCCATTTTTTTAGGCGGGCTTGTCATCTTTCTTATTCACCTCATACAAATGATACCGAAATGATACCATATTATGACATTTATTCACTAAATGTAGCGAGATATATATTGTGGAGGTAAAGGTATACAATTAAGGAATGGTCATACCGCCATAGGGTGGACTACACCTCACACAGTCACACTATGAACCAGATGTAAAAAGTTCACTTAAAATTGCGAAAAATGATAGAAAGCTCGGAAACACCCAGCTAAACCGTACAACACGCAACTGATTAAACTGGAATGTGACTGATACAATCCAAGCAACTTTTTCGAGGAGGCATAAGTCAAACTTAAGCCTATACAGTACTTAAATTAAAATCACTTGAAGCTTAAAATAAACTACCTACCATTACATGAATCAGAATCATATGAACTCAAAGTACATATTAGATATAACAAAGTAGATGCAGTAGGACAGTACTCAGAATAAAACATGGCTAAAAGGTTTTAACGAATGCTACATGCTCTTAAATAAATACAGTCGGCAATTTAGGACAGCCCGAGGGAAAAGGATAGACAACTATAATATACAAACTTTAAAGAGAAAATCTTAATTATAAGGCGAGATCCCATCGTTCATGTCAAAATCACTGTCCAAAACTTCACAACTTTGAACTGTACCCATAAATAATAAAATTTCAACAATACTTTTTTTAGTTATAACACCATTACTCATTTAATCCAATTTCCCTCGTACCAGCTATTACACATTTGTAGAAATACCTCAATCCACACTTTAAAACATCAAATTTTGAGGATAAGTATCATTGGCTCAGTGCTAGCAGAGGATAAGTATCTGCTCATTGCTAGCAGCATCACGCCATCACTACTTAACTGGTAATATAGTGACTTGAGAGATATAAATGATTTTAAACTCCAAGCTTTCATAACTATTTATTAGGTCATAATGTTTTATATGAATGCACAGCATCGAACAATATCTACAATCAATTAAAGAAGATTTCATTACAGAGATTTCACGTCTGCGTTCTAGTATTAGCTTCACACCTTCCCTAACCCCAACACATTTCCCTAACCGTAGCTCTCTCTCCGTTCAAATTAGCTGTCACGAATTTAAGTAATGTACTCGTAGTTTTATTCCAAACAACGACTATAAATTCCAGAATACAGACTGTGGTAAAGATAGAATGGAATATGGAAGGTAAGTGGCTAATAAAAGACAAGTCATCTACATACTCTCTCCTATATTAGCTGTCAAAATGTACTCTTTTTTTACGAACATCCTAAAATAGTGTAAATTCCAGACTGAGGTAAAGATAGAAAAAGTTAATGAATTGCAACCACCTCCTGTGGCTTTAGGTGGGAGTGAAGAGGATGAGATGCATTATTATCTTCACATACAACAGGTTTATAAAAACGAAAAAGTGATACATTACAATTGCAGATCACAGCTCTGAAGATGTCTACCATTATCGATAGTAAATGAATAACTTCCTGACAACGCGTCAGATTATTTTGAATACATGATTTTATGAGGGCTTAATCACCCTGCATTCATCATTTCATCCCACTTGTTACTGTCTTTAGTTCTTACCACCAAAATGAAAGTAAAATTTATAATAATATTAACACTGGTTATAATTCAAGGGTATTATTAATATTAACAAACACATAGGGCATCTTAGAACAAACCAAACGATTTAACAATAGAGAATATGTTAGAGAATAATTTAGCAAGTAACTTCAAACATCAGCTACAATCCTCATTATTCAGATATCAGACGAAATGTGGAGTGGCTACCTACAATTATCTTCTTAAACATCGACTGAGATACATACTTTATACAAGCTTCCTATATTCTAGCCATTCCCATCCAAACTGAAGGCGATTTTTTTTTCTGGATGAGAGATAGTTTACACCTAGAGCTAGGAGAAATCTTCAAGTTCGGATCAGTACAGAGCAGAGCTTCCCCCTAGTTAAGGAGCATTTGATCAAAGTGCCAAACTCCTGCAAAAGCGAATAGGTTGCTTTCAGAGTCTACATCTCTAAAAATCCATAACTATAGCAAAAATAAAAAATACATGTTCTATTGCAGAATAAGAGTAACAACGATGACAATTAGCAAGTGTAAAAATATTGAAAGAGTGATTCATACCATGTCCCTTGCCAACCATTCTCAATTGAGTGACATAATCTGCTATCTTCTTAATTGCCTCAACCTAAGTAAGATAGAAAACAAGGTTAATGAGCCATTAAGAAAAACTTAGAATGAAAGGGGTAAAGAATTTTCTCAAATGATTGAAACAGCATGTAGTAAAACAAATTTACCTGCTCATTCAGAAATTCGCCTTCGACAAATTCCTGTAACTGGACATCATTGTTTCGCTCAGCCACCTGTTGGTCAATATTTAAAAAAAGAGAAAAAAAAATGAATCACAAAATCTGCTGAATTTAATTTACAGAAAACATGATAAGCTTAAAATCTATGGTCAATAATCATATAATATACACAAGATAAAGATGGCTAGTTGCTTAAGGTGCAAGATGGAATTGTTCAGTATAAAAAATTTATGTGCAATATGAAGTGCCATTAATTTTTTCATAATTTTTTAATTTTTGCCTAGTTGTATTAAGTAAGACAACATTGACAAGTATCCATTTAGGGATCCTTTTTTTTTTTTTTTGGGGGGGGGGGGGGGCGGGGTTAACTTACACCATGCAAGTTCAGCAATTTCTCATTCACAAGCTTCTCCAATGACAATGCCAGCTCCATTGCTGCCACAAGATATATTTCAAAATTAGAACTGAATGAATGAGATGTTGCTCAAAATTTTATACAGAGATATGTATATTACAAAACACGTCGATGTTCACTGCCATCTTGATAAAACACTATGGAAATAGGTAAAGGCCTTACCATAAAGTGCATCTCCTTTTTCAACATGCTCAAACTCTGATGGTGGCATCAGGATCGAAAACAGCTTCACCCTTCCTCCTCTCATGTTCTGAATCAACAAATACGAAGCAAATAATAAAGATAATATCATGAACCACCCCGACTACAATGATCACAACCATTTCAAAGTTACAGAACTAACAGACAAAGTGACACTATAAGACGTTGCTATTCACCTGATACTTCATTAACTTCTCAGCATGTTCCCTTTCTTCTTCACTTGACTCTCGGAAAAACCTAAAGATGCCAACACGACAATATATGGTAAAGACTTGCATCCCTTCAACTAATGCAGCTAAATTTTACAAATCACAACTGAATGGTGTTGTAAAAGAACCATTAGTAACTTACTTGGCTAAGCCTTTTAGAGCAACATTGTCCCTGTCAAAGTAGGCAAACAGCGAATGGTACACATAGGATGCACTGTACTCCACACTGTAAATCATACCAGGAATAAAGTTAATATCATACAAAATAATAATTACTTGACAAAGATTAATGTAAAGTACAAATCATAGTATTTGAAGATTAAGATTCTTATTTTTGCAATCCATCTTTTTCCTTTGTTTTTTTTCCTAAGTACAGGATGTGATTGATAAAATCAAAATTATGATCATGAACGAGGACTATTTGTTGACGATTCACATACTTAGGTAGTTTGGCACAAGGGAACTTAATCCACCCAATAGCAAGCTCATATCAGTATATCACATATCTCAGCTTGAGTCATATTCAGCGTTCCACATCTTTTCTAATTTGGACTCATCACCAACTTAAAAACGTTTTTCTAATGTTATTGGTGCATATTAATATAGTGGTATATTTATAAATAATGGGGTATAGGATGAGACACACAAGAGTTATATGGATTTCTTTTTCTCTACTACAGTACTTCCCAATATCTCCCCAACATCTTACTTTTGGCAGCTTCTTTGATGCATATTAAAAAGAACTAATTGCAAGACTAATGTGGCTTTTTTTAATTACAAGGGTTACCATATAAGGGTTAACTTTAATGTCTTGCAATAATTTGTTGTAAATCCACTTTACAATCTTACATAACATGTTCTTACCATATACTCATTGTATTCAATTATAGGCCTAGCTTGTTGATTGATTAAAGCTAACTGATCGAAGAACAATTAAGTCATCTTGAAACAATTTTTTTTTGCTAACTACAATTAAGACTCTTCTCTAAGCTTACTTATGCTTATACCAATACCCTTTGGTCCTTTTCAACAACTCACATAAGAAAACATTAGCCACCTTATATACAACTTCTTCTCCCGCCCTTTTAAATTATAGAAGGTAACTTGCTATGCATCCCCCACTGAAGTAAATACTAGTAGTACTACACAATTATTCTACAAGGACCATATTAAGCAACTAAAACCTCAAATAAGCAAATAGTATACGGATTTTGTATAAACATAATTATGATTTTGTAAGACCGTCTTGATTACTAAATTTATGTCAAAATCATGAATTGAATAAAGCTATTAACATGGTAATTAGATCCTATATGTGAGTATATGATGCATAGCAGCTTAGTATATCCACTCTTAACTTGCAAATTAGATCCAATATGCGAGTGCATGATGCGCATTTTAGGGCCAAAAGAACTTATAGTTCAAATTAAAGGAACACATACTCAAAAATAAAGAACGTAGTATTTCATTTCTTTTGTCACTATGTCATCCCTGTACTTTTATTTAGAACTAAGTGTGGTATTTTAATATACATTCTTTTATTTTGAACTCACTAACATATATACATCATGCTCTGGTGTGCATAATCTAAGCGATACGCTTCTACAGTAGAAAGGCATATAGTGAAGCTATGAAACAACTATGACGGACAAAAGAGATTACATCAAGAACATGAAGAGACTAAAACCTAATAATCTGACGACATTTTTCATTGAACCATTTTAACAAACAGTTGGTAGGCATCTTCTTTATGTCAAATATCATAGCGCATAAACTTAACATAAAAATTTAAAAAACTTCTACAGTACAATTTATCAATTACTTTTTCACCTTTAATCAACTTTTTCACCTTACTTTTACCCATCATTTAAAATAAAACTCTTTTCACCACCAAAAACATAACTACTTTTTCCAATAAATAAAGAGAAGAAAAGCCAAATTCAGGTAAAAAACAAAGATGCTAAATTAAAAGGAAAAAAACATTAATAACATCAATCAATCTACACATAATTTCAATCATTAATAAATACAAACATTAATAACATCAATGGATGCGTAATTTTAATCATTAATTCCCTATAACCCACAAGGGTTATGGGTACGGCCGCATACATCAAAACCGATAAAAACAAAAACAGAAATAAAGAAAGAGAGAAGAAAGATTACTTGATCTGCTCATTAATGGCAGCTTCACAATCATCAGCAAATTTCTGACGAGCAAGAGAAACTTGAGGAGAAATAGGAACCATGAAATTATCACTCTTAACCTCTTCAAAAGGCTGAAAAACAATCCCAGTCATAGGCTCAGTTTCTTTAACATTCGCCATGATTTTTCCACACCCATTTCTCCTCTCAAACCCCACAAAACTCGACGAAAATCCATGGCAGAAACCATTTTCTTTCCCAGAAACAGGGGATGAGCTAAACAAAGGAGACCCACCTGAAGCAACTGTCCTCAACATCATTTTTGTAAAAATCTGGGTTGAAATTGAAGGAATTTGAAGGTATAACAATGGCGGAAGGGTAAAATGGGAAGAATAAAAGTTGAAGGGGGGAAGAGGTGAGGATGAAGAAGAGGTGAGAAAAGGGGGGAGATTATATAGGAGAAGGACAAGTGTATGAGTGGCATTGGAGAAGGATATGAGCCGTTGGATGAAGTGGTGGAGTGGACGGTTGAGATGAAAAGGCAGGAAAGGGCGTGTGGTGAGCTCGTGTCACATGGAGAATCTGGGAAATATCCAATCCACGTTGTCCTCTATTTTATCTCTTCGTTGTTTATGCTTTTGTCGTTTTTTTAATTTCTTTGTTACTCGCTTTGTTCGGGAAAGATTGGTTACTTGCCTTTTAAATCACCGCCTTATTTTTGGAGAATTTTCAAATTTGGGGGTAGAATTTTGTGGAATTTTTTGAAGTATGACAACTCATGATCATCATCTAGAGTTTACCTAATAGGATAATTTGGATTACAAAACTGTTTTGAAATGTTCACTGTATCTAAATAAGACCATGTTCACCTCACTTTAAAAAAATAATATTCAATAAAAATAATATTCAGTTCAGTAAAAATAATTTCAGTTCAACAAAATTAAGTTAAGTCCAGTTCAGTAAAAATAAGTTCAGTAAAAAAATCAGTAACTTTAAAGAAGAAATATAATACGAAATTAGTAAAAATAATTTCAATTCAACAAAAATAATTTCAGTTCAGTAAAATTAATTTCAGTTCAGTAAAAATAATTTCAGTTCAGCAAAAATAAGGTAAAGTGAACGGGGCCTTAGATAGTAGATACAAGTGGAATACTTTATAACGATATTCACTCTAGGTGCATAAAGGTGAAAATGTTGCAAGTAGTTAAGAACGGGAAAAGTATAAGTTTCTATATAGTTCCTCCGTTTTTTTTTTATTGCATCATAGGGGTTTTGGAGGCAAAATTTAGTAGTGGGAAAAAGTAAGAGAGAGAAACATAAAAATACAAAATTGTCCATGTAATGTAAGATAAAATAAAAAATAAGTGTGAAAAAGTAAGGGTATGTTGGGTATTTGCAGTGTGAACATAGATATTTTTTATCTTAAAAAGGAAATAATGCAATAATAAGTAAACTTCCTAAAGTAGTAAGTGGTGCGATAAAGAAAGAACGGAGGAAGTATATATATATATATATATATATATATATATATATATTATATATATATTATATATATATATATATATATATATATAATATGGTTTAATGTATTAAATCTCAATCGACTTCCACAAAATAACTATCTTGCAATCAGTTTCAATTAGGATCTTCATTAATTTCCAATTAGATTTAATCAAGTCCAATGAGTATAATAAATAACTACTCCATACACTTCAGATAAATTCAAAAGAATTTAGATGAAGAAAACATATCCTAACTGCTTTGTTCTATTTGATTTACTTTGTATAAATTAAACATGTATATTTAAATTGCTTTATATTTATCTATTTTGAAAATCTTCTATTTAAACTTTGTATAAAATAAATTTTTTGTGTATAAAAGTATTTGAAACTAACTTATTTGGTCTATAACATGTTAAAGATGACATGGCCTGTATTGGATCGACTATTAGGACAAAACCTCTCCAAATTAAAACATGTTAAACCTTAATGCATACATCATTTTAATAAATTTACAACACAACTTTGCATATCATTGGTATAAAAAAAAACCTATGATGCAAATTTTCATTAACACTAATCTAACAACATTTATATAACAATACCAATTAGTGAGTAGTCCGGGCATTGCACCGAGTTACTAATTTTTTAGTTGTGCAACTGCTAATTTTTAAGAGCATCTAATAGTTTGTATGTAGTATGTGTCTTCAATACTTTATAGTATAATATTATTTATTGTGCAAGGTTAAAGTATAATTGACAATTAGCCTAGATGGTCAAACAATAACCTTTCTTCTAAGAGGTCAAGTGTTCAAACCTTCTCGTCCACATATTTTTCTAAATATTATTAAAAAAAAAAAAAAAAAAAAAAGTCAAGACTACTATATAAGTTAGGTAAAATGTTATTATGTTAATGTATTGCATGTATATATTAAGGAAAGTAAAGTATTTGGTTAAGTTGGAAATTATCATAAGTAGTTTATGATGGTAATTTTTGTGATGGTAAAAGGGTACGTGGTAAATAAAATGAGAGTGGGGAAAAAAACTGATATGGGCATGAAGACGAGTCTAATGGCAGAAGATGCTTTACCACTTTGCCACTTAGTGCCAATAACAGCCTGTAATGACATGGACTTGTCTTTTTTCTTCATGTTTTTAGTCCTTTCAACCTATTTTATGAGTTGAGAAAAATTAAATGAAAGAAGCATTAATTTTTGATAATTTTTATATGGATCTTGCTTAGTGTTCGGGGCATTAGATAACAATTTAAAATGTTTCCTATAATGATATTAATTTGGGAACGCATGTTAAAATTATACTTATGTTAATCGGTGTACCTAATGTGTATTTCAATGTAATATTTTTACTTTTAGTTATCTTATCGAACGCTTTTGAGGCGTTCATTAACTTTTGTCTTTTTAAATTAATCATATGTGAGAATGTAATAGGGAATGATGTTGCACTTCAAATAGTGTATTGCAAATTGAACATTTAAAAAAAAATAGTGAAATTTTTATTGGAACAAGTAGAATAATTGTATTTTACTACTCTCCCTCGGTTCCTAAATGATGTTTAAGTTTGTCATTTTGGGTTTTCCCTTTATTATACTCCCTCTATTCCACAATGATATTCCTGTTTTTTTATTTCGGGTGTTTCAAAATGATGTTCCTACTTTCTATTTTAATTTCTCACATATTCTCATTATTTTCCTATAATACCCTTATTTTAATGGTCCTAATCCAAAAAAAATAGCCCCAATGTACTTTATTCCAAAATAATAAGTGGTCCCAATGTACTTTTTTCCAAAAAAAGTTGGTCTCATACTCTCTCCGTCTCATATTATAGTTCTTGTTTTTCTATTTTGGAGACTCAAAATGTTGTTCTTGTTTCTATTTTTGGATAGTAAGTAAAGCCCATTATACTCTCATATTTTTTTTAACTTTCTTTATTGTACTTCCTAAATTACCCTTAAATTTTCCACTTGCTTTGTACTTTTTTCCACTTTCTCTCTCTAACTTTTGCCTATAATTGTATTTTTCCTTTTTTTTATTTTTTTTTATTTTTATGTACTTCATTCACTTTTTCCTCTCTAACTTTTGTCTATAATTGTACTTTTCACCTTTCTTTATGTATTTCATCCACTTTCTCCTCCCATTTCTTAAATACCGTGAAAAAACACAAACAAGAACTATATATTGGGACAGAGGGAGTAATATTTAAATGGTCCAAATGTACTTTAACTCAAGATTCTTCCCTTACCTTAATTTACACAAAAGATTTCAAATAGGAACATCATTATAAAATGAATGGAGTATTGGTTATGTTTCAACTCTTTCTGTTTCCAATACAAAATTTTTTTACACATTTTTCCCTCATATGTACTCCGACATATATACTTCCAAAGCAACTATTTCTATTTGCCAAAATATCTGCCTACTTCCAAAGCAACTATTCTAATTTATCAAAATATTTACCTACTATTAGTCCTATTATCAATTTTTTTTTTACCATTTTTTAAGAAATATCATTTTCTATGGTGAATTAAATTAACGTTTTAATACTTGATATATGTGACATCTAATCAATTCTTATGAATTTCATAATGTATGAATTTATTATTTTTAATAACAAAAACAAACTTCATTTTTTAAGAATAAAAATTATCAAAATGTTATTCGCTATCAAATTTCTTGATTGTTCCAAAATGTGCTAACTCATTCGATAGATGACTCCATTTTTACAACACTCTTTTTCATCCTGAGCCCCATTACATATGCTATTGTGATTGTTTAAATCAAATTATAATCTCCATAAGGCAAAATTGGTCTTAATTGCACCAACTACAAGTTGGGTGCACAGAATAGCATAACTTTGATCGGATGCACTTTACATCACAAACTATTAAATTTGGTGCATAAAATATCATAAATGACATTGGAGGACGGGGATTCTACCAGAAAAGTGTATTTTTATTATTTTAAAGTTTTCTAGTGTCATAAATTGAAATCTAATGACACAAATTACACAAATTCATCCAAATAACACATCAATTTCAACAAAATCATCATATCACCAACTAATTCTCTAATTTCATGAAATTATGAAGAAAAAAAAAGAGACAAGTATCAAATGCATATTCAACACAGAGAGAAATCGAGTTTCAAAATTTACCAAAATACAATTTAAAGAATGTCTTGTGTTGATTGATTGCCTAGGATTTTAGGATTGGTCTTCGTCTTCTTCCTCGTTTACCTTGGTGTTTTTCAAGGAGTAGTATTAGTTTTACTAATTGGGGGGTAATGGGTGAACTATAATAAAGGGGCATGTCCTTAGTACAGTTAAGTAATTATATCGGTGATAGAAAATTATGTAAAGGGTGCAAATTGGTTAAAAATATTATAATTAATAAGAATATGTTTTTCTGGCAGAGTCTCCGGTCTCCAATGTTTTTTATGACACTTTATGTACCAAACTTGATAGATTGTGATGTAGAGTGCACCCGATCAAAGTTGTGCTATTCTTTTCACCCAACCCATACTTGGTGCTATTAAGGCCAATTTTGCCTCTCAACAAATGTTACTTATATTAATCTCACATCAATACATAAAAGCGAACTATTCTATTATCAAACCCTTAAAAATAATAAAACTCTCATTACTACTTTTATTTGTCATGTAGGAGAATTCAATTCAATTATTTGCCTAATGTCCATCCATTTTGGCTTTTAATTGTATCAAGTGTTTGATTTAGGGTTTTAAAAACACACTTCTTGTAGATTAATAATCTCTGAATCTTATAAGATAAGTATAATTGTTTATAAGCTCATTTTTTTTTTTCCTTTAACACCCCTTGCCCCCTTGGCCATGCATTATACAAAATCAAATCTAGTAAGCCTAGAAACTACATATCAAACTTTTGAATCTCGCAAGCTTTTCATTGGT